ACATGATTTTAGGGTTTGCTTGATATTGGGAAATGTTGGGTAAATCTGGACTTGGATTAAACACCTAAAGGAAATAATATCTAGGGATAGAATTAGGACCTTTGGTTGTCTTAGATCTCAACTCTTAATGCGGAAATAATTGTTAGGTCTTCCAAGGGATTGAAGCCTAATAAGGAAGTCTAGGCTCTCTCTACCAAGGGATTGAGTTTGAGTAATTTAGTAGATTGACATTGGCATATTAATGAAGAGGAAGTGATTTTCTATACATAAGAGTGAAGTAGGTGAAATCATACCCCCAACAATACCATTCCATATCATTTCTAATCTTTCCATTTCCAAGTGTTTGAGTATCTAAGATCACTTTCATCAATTATGTTTCATGTTTACTTTAATTGCACAAAAACACAAATTATGAAGCATTCTTTAGTCTAAGTTAGTTGGAAATTATACGATTGTTTGGTGACACGAGTCTCTTGGGAAACGATATACGGTCTTACCGGTTTTATTACTTGAAACAATTTGGTACACTTGCCAAAGTCCTAACAGTCATGCCCTCCACCGCTCAGTCTGAACTGCTCTGTCTCGGTCATGCTCTCCACCGCTCGGTACTTCTTCTTCTATCTCATAGCTTTTCACCATTCGGCTCAATACTTGTATACTCTCCAATTCTTAACATTTTTCTTCTACAGCGTTAGTTGGACACAATATCGTTCGGCTTGTGTTTGACGTTGTTAAGTCTTTAATTGTGTTCGGCCCACGTTCCAACGTCGTTCGGTCTTCAACTGCATTCGGCCAATGATTGTCCTGTGTTCGGCTTTGTTTTCTCTTCAACTCTTAGTGACCGTTTGGTCTTTAACTACTTTACACCGTTTAGTTTTCTTTGTAGACCAACATAAAGGAATGCTTTTAAACTTAATACAGTAAGGATCTTCATATTCTTCAGTTTGTAACATCATCAAAATCATTATCTTCAAAAAACTAATGCTCCTCATTGGTAACAATCTCCCCCTTTTTGATGATGATAAAAAAAAATTTCTGTTTAAAAGCATTTTTGAATAGCTGCACAAATTTCAAACTAACAAACAGGTTAGTAGTAACTGCACTAGAAGGTTTTATCATAAGCAAAAAGTAAGTAAGGATACTCCTCCTCAAAATGTTCTTCCTCTCAAGAAAACAATGTATGCACTATATTAGAACAAGAAAGTATTTTTTTTTTTATTTTAGGGAAAATGTCACTACCTCAAAATTATCACACTAATTGAAAAATAACAAAAAAACAAACACACATCCTAATTTTAGAATTTTGGACTAGGTGGTCTTTCCGGAGGTTGAAGATTGAGATGATTTTCAATGTTGCCAAAACGAGTGTCAAAATCTTCAAACTTCTCAATCACATATTCTTCATGAGTTTGCTGTCAATCAATGATTTCATAAAAACAGGCTTGGTGAGCAAGACTTATGTCCTCCAGTTGTTTAGATAGATTTGCAAAGTAATATGCCATGGACAAAGTTGATGATGAAGGCATTTGAGAGGGACCAGCATCAGAACGAGCAACAACTGTTACGGGTTCAGTCATGTGAGCATCCATATCAGCATCTTCATCATCCTGGTGTTCGTCATCTTTGTGAATAATCACACGCCCGCAGGCAACAAAGCCCATTTGATGAAACATTGTCTCCCCATTTCAGTGCCAATGGCTTGGATGGCTTGGGTGATCTCTCCTTCTATACTAACTCCTTTGTATTCAAGAATCCTAGAGATGAGGAGAGCGTAGGGAAGATGATAGGCATGGTACTTTTTGGCTTTCAGCATAGTATCTGAGATTAGTGCAGGCCAATCGATATGGATATTATTTAAAATCCCATAAAGAAGAAGATCCTGCTCAAAACATTGAACATGATTGGTAGCACGAGGGCATAGAAGCCACACTATCAGATAATGAATTAAATGTTCTTCTACCTTGAAGCCACCCACCAACAGTTGACAGCGGTTTGTTTGCTGTTGAGGATGTCGTAGAAAGGATTGGAAGGCTAACAAGCGATAGAAGTCCGCGACCCCAAGATGAACTTTGATAACATCATCATAAATGGTGAGTTGTGCCATGTTTGTCCATATATCGTCATCCGGAATAATTGGGACCCCCTTCACCTTGGTTGTGACGATTCCATCGCGATACTTTAGGTTGAAGTAGAACACTCTGATGAGATCAAGATATATGCAACCTTTTTGTTCTACTAGATGAGTGAGAGCTTGAGCTCCAAATAAATCATGGAATTGGAAGCCATAGAATCGGTAGAAATCCAACCTGATGAATTTAACGACCATGATCTGACGTTCCTGCCAAAAGTTGGCAAAATCTGCATGCTTTTCTTGATCGAAAATCCATCCTTCAATGGATGTAGGGCGAGGAGCACAGGGTCTGGATGAAGAAGCTCCAGTAGTTCGTCTGCGAGGTCTTCTTGAATCAGCCATGACAAAATGACAAAAGATGGGATATATGAAGAGTGATGAGGGTAGGAGATTTGATGCAAATTTGAGTTGGACAGAGTTTTGGGTGCAAGGGAGTATCTACTAATCGATTATGAGGGGTTATTTATAGGAAAATGGAAGAACTAGTCGTTTATGGCTGTTTAGGGCCGTTTATGAACGCTGTAACGGCTATATTTTTGAAATTGTATGCTTGATAATCGATTATTACTAAGGATAATCGATTATCACATAAAAAAATTCTTCCTAAAATTTCAACAATAATCGATTATTGGTGGAGTTAATCGATTTTACGTTCATGAATACCTAGAGTTGAAGAATGAGTTAGGTTAATCGATTATGCCTAGTAATAATCGATAAAATGCGAACGAAACCTTTTCCAAATGCTTAGAATAATCAATTATAGCCCTATGATAATCGATTAAATGCGCTGTGATTACGAAAAATGAGAAAAGGTCATGAATCTTACCTCTAAGACATATATCTATTACTCCTAACTCTCTTCTAAGATCATAGAATCTATCTTTAGGTAATGCCTTGGTGAAAATGTCTGCTAATTGATGTAATGTATCAATATACTCTATTGTGCAATCACCCTTTTGGATATGGTCTCTTAAGAAGTGATGTCTTATTTCTATATGTTTAGTTCTAGAGTGCATTATAGGATTCTTGGTTAGGTTTATGGAACTAGTGTTATCATATTTCATAGGAATGTGATCAAGGAAGACATCAAAATATTCCAATTGTTGTTTCATCCACAAGATTTAGGCACAACAGTTTCCTACAGCAATATATTCTGCTTCTGTGGTAGACAAGGCTACACATGCTTTTTTCTTTGAGTGCCAAGACACTAAAGAGAAACCCAGAAATTGACAAGTACTTTTCCTATCTATTTTACATCCCCCATAATCTGCATCAGAATAACCTATCAAACTAGGTGTTGCATCAGAAGGATACCAAAGTCCAAAAGAAGTAGTTCCTTTAAGATACTTTAAGATTCTCTTAACAACTGTTAGGTGTGATTCTTTAGGATTAGCTTGATACCTAGTACACACACAAACATTTTGCATAATATCTCGTCTACTAGCAGTAAGATACAATAAAGATCCTATCATCCCTCTAAACATAGTTTGATTCACTTCTTCGCCAGATTCATCCTTATCTAAGTAACAAGAGGTTGCCATAGGGGTGTTGACTTCTTTACAGGTATCCATTCCAAACTTCTTAAGTACTTCTCTACAATATTTGGTTTGGGAAACGAAGGTTCCTCGTTCCACTTGCTTTATTTGTAGTCCTAAGAAGAAATTCAGTTCACCCATCATAGACATCTCAAACTCTCCTTGCATTATATTTGCAAATCCCTCACATAATGAATCATCAGTAGATCCAAATATAATATCATCCATATACACTTGAGCAATCAAAATATATTTTCCTACTTTCTTAATGAATAATGTTGAATCAACCTTTCCTCTAGAAAACTCATTTTCAATCAAGAAAGTACTAAGTCTTTCATACCAAGACCTAGGTGCTTGTTTAAGGCCATACAATGCATTTTTCAGTTTATAAACATGATCAAGAAAATTAAAATCTTTAAATCTAGGAGGTTGACTAACGTATACCTCCTCTTTTATAAAGCCATTCTGATGGACAAATTTATGATCACCAAAATATGATGTCACAAACTTGTTGAACAATCGGCAAGTATGACCGAATCATTTCAAGTAATAAACTCGGTAAGACCAAGTATCGTTCTCCCAAAGGACTCACGGCCTAGTTTAGTTATGTGATTTGTTGATTAGCTAAGACTTAATAACAAAATAATTGGAGTTTAATATGCAAGACAGAAAATAAACATGTATGCATGAGTTTTGATCAATGGCAAAAGAAAAAGACAAGCACTTTCAATGATATATATATATGAATATGTTGTTGGGGGTCAATTTCATCTTATCCACTCTCATATATTTTAGGAATTCAACATTCAAATCATCATTGTTAATGCCACTCTCTAAATTACCTTGTCAAGAAGGCCTATCCCTAATTACGAGTTCATACGATTCCTAGCATTCCT